CAAAGCCTTACTCATAAGGATCACCTTGAGCTTCTTGACAATGAAATCGTGTTGATTTCTCTGACAAATGCTGAGTCAAGACATGGTAGAGGGCCATGATTGATGTCTTAATTCTTCACCAAATCTTGATAAGAAGTTTTTTTATAAACAAACATGAAACAGGGATCTTCTTTATATGAGCATCCTTGAGGTCAGAGTCTGCATTCCTAATGAATGCAGCACGCTTCAAATAAGTAATGAAATGATTCCGTGAAACTATCTCATAGGTCTAAGATGCCATGGCATTTCTTCACTCTGCACCATTGATCTGTATGTTTGTAATGAGCTGCAGTGAAGCTCTGGATTTGATGAGAAACACCAGTCATTGAATAACTGAATATATGGATTGTAGGTATCCTATTATTTTGTTGCATCCACATTTCATTGGATGATTTTATTGAGAGGTAAAACACTGTCTTCTTGTCTAAAAGTCCATTTGGCTTTTAAAGTACATGTGCCCTGCCACTCCACTCAGCCTCGCACATTGTTCCTATTCAAAGAAACATCTAATGCAGATCGGTGCCTAGAATCGAGTTGGTTGCACCACACTTTGAGTTTGCAACATCCAGTGGCAAACTATGTCATTATGTTCAAATATTTATTTTCTTGCCTCATTCTTGACACTTGCAACTCACATCAATCTGTGTCCGACTGCCCTTGATTCTATTGCAACAGAAACAGTTTCTTGACCTATCACAGGAACACTCGTGTGATGGAGAGCAGGAGAATTATGCAGATGGTTTCCTCGAATTATGATTTAGCACAATTCTTACTGATTGAGCATATCTGCCATACGTTTTGAACTTTTTTGCACATTCTCTTATCATTTGTGCATTCCCTCCTAAATGCTGTTGAATCTCTCTCATTCGTCTTGTTTCAGTTTATGCCTACGGTTTGTGATTACAATTCTTTTTTGTCAATAAGAACCATAATTATATCAGAGATGACCACCACAGGTAGTTCTCCTGCCAGCTCTACAACTGGTGGTTGAGTACTTCTTTCATTGAACAATTTTCAACATAATTTTCGACAATAATTCATGAGTTCCTGATCAGGGTAATTTCTTTGTCAGGCTTGGTTCTCCAGTTGTATTCTCACTTTTGAAAGTTTTAGTGTCTAGACCCCATCCAGAACCTGTGCAATAAAACTGGCCACAGAGAATGAACCACGCTATGGCTGAGCTCTTTGTAGCTCTTGGCTGAGAGGGTAACTTGCATTTTTGCAGGGTCTGGATATTCCACCAGTGATAACCTTTCCCTCAAATCTGTTACCTGCTTCTTCATTATCCTTTATTTTGAACTGTCTGTTTTGAGATTTTGCATGTACTCTTGTGATGTTTGGAAAATAATTCCCTCCTTTCATCATAAAAATGTCCCCAGGGGTTCATTATAACAAGGAACTTAATTCAATATAATTTTATCCCAAAGTGTTCAGCAAGGTTAACAAGCATGATTGATGTTGAAAGACAAACATTCCTTTAGAATTGAGTCAAAAGCTTCTGATTCCAGATGTCGACCCTCTGTTATCTAACCAACATTGTATCCATGCTACAATGTACATTTGAATCCATGACCCACCGCCATTCTCGCAAATCTTTTGTGTGCTTGTTTCTGATGCTTTATTTGAATTGCCAATTGAGAGAAAACTCACTTCCCAATTTTAATTTCCACAAAACCATTCTCCCCGAGCCTAGTGAACAGAAGGTATCTCCAAAAAACATCTTGATTCTTGAAAAATACGAGTAGATGGGAGACCAGGTGATCAGCCATTCACGCATTCAGAGTTAAATCCTATTTATCGAGGATAGCATTGTGTTCAGGACTGAATCTCCATGAATCCTGTAATGCACTCTCTGAATTCTGACTGTCAGAAGGGTGTGCTAGCATAAATGATGACTTGTATCAATGTCTCAATCTTTCTCAATGACACTCTGTTCACGGAGACCTGGTGAAATGTGCATTTCAATTGCACAAATTGTGATCTGGCCGAATATTTTTTGATCAGGAAGTAGGGTGCATAATGTTGAACTATCGAAGCACTTTCTCTGGTCCATTGTGTTTTGCTTGTTGAATGCTATTAAAACTGTTTCAGTACTGTTCGGATTCAAGCTTTGTGTATTGATGGTCGTAACATTTGTTTGTCTTCTCAAGGAACGACTTCAACAAAACAGACTGCAACCACAACCAGTACCACTGCGAGTTCCACACCTGGTGAGTGAGGAATTCTTTGATTAAACATGAGCAGTAATTCACAACAAAAATTCAATATGCTCCTCGTCAGGGAAATTTCTTTGGAAATCTTAGATCTCAAGTTGCATTCTCAATTACGAAAACATTAGAATTAGATCCCACTCCAGACCCTGTGCAATAAATCCAGCCCCAGACAAAGGACAACACTGTGTCGGAGTTGTTAGTGGCTCTTGGTTGAAATGTTAACTTCAGTTTTTCTGGGTCTGCCCATTCCAGAAATGAGAACCTTTCTCACAGGTCTGTTACATAATTGCTTATTATGCCTTGTTTGGAATTGCCTGCTTAGAAATTTCACACTTATTAACTTAATGTTTGCAAAATCATTCCCTCCTTTATTGGTGAACACAAAATATCTCCAAGGGTTTAGTAATCCAAGGAACTATATTCAATGACTCTCTATTCAAGGAAGGCTGGTGAAATGTGCATTAGGAGTCCATGGATTATGATCAGGCACTACATCTTCTAATCAGGAACTCTTTAACATCGCTTTAATTATTCCCTGTTCAATGCTGATAATACTCTCTCAGTACCGTCCTGCTTAAGCTTTGTGCATTGATTGTCGTAACGTTTCTCTGTCTTCTCAGAAACAACAAAAATAACAGAGACTACCACCACAGGGAGTACTACTGCCAGATCCACAGCTGGTGAGTGAGATCTCCCATCATTAACACGAGCAATTATTTTCAACAAAAAGTCAATGAGCTGCTACTCAGAGGAATACTTTGGCCAGTTTTAGTTCTCAAGTTGCATTCTCACTTATGAAGCTGGTGGCATCAGGTCCCCAAAACGTCAGCTTTCCTGCTCCTTTGATGCTGCCTGGCCTGCTATGTTCATCCAACTCTAAACCTTTTATCTCAGATTCTCCAGCATCGGCAGTTCCTACTATCTCTGAGTCACATTTCTAAACTTCATAACACCATTCTTCCCCAGCATTGTGAACAGAACACACTTCGAAACTGTTATCAGATCTTAGAAATAAATTGAAAATAATATTATCCCATGCACCAACAACGTAGTTCGTACCAATGATATGTATAATTGTATTCTGCACTAAATGGCATCTTTCTTGGAAAATGTCAGTACTTGTGAGACCAGGTGATCAACAATTGACTATTTCAGAGTTCAATCCAATTTGGTAAGGATAAGCATCGTGTTCAGGACCGAATCTCCATTCTCCCGTCAATGCACCCTCTGAGTTTAAAGTGTCAGAAGCTGCTGTAGAGTGAATGGTGACTTGTATCTGTGTCTCAATCTTTCACAATGACACTCTATTCATGGAAGGCTGGTGAAATTTGGATTCCATGGATTATGATCTGGCACTGCATCTTCTAATCGGGAGCCCTTTAACATCGCTTTAATTATTCCCTGCTGAATGCTAATAATACTCTTTCAGTGCTGTCCAGATTAAGCTTTGTGCATTGATTGTTGTAACATTTCTCTGCTTTCTCAGAAACATCAACAATAACAGAGACTACCACCACAGGAAGTACAACTGCCAGTTCCACAGCTGGTGAGTGAGATCTCCCATCATTAACACGAGCAATTATTTTCAACAAAAAGTCAATGAGCTGCTATTCAGAGGAATACTTTGGCCAGTTTTAGTTCTCAAGTTGCATTCTCACTTATGAATCTGTTGGCAACAGATCCCCTTCCAGACCCTGTGCAATAAATCTAGCCACACAGAAAGGACTGTTGTTTTGGTGTCTACTGGTTGCGAGGTTAACTTGGGTTATTGCAGGGTCTGTCTATACCATGAATGATAACCTTTCTCACAAGTCTGTTATGTGCTTGTTCATTTCACCTCATTTTCAACTGCCTGCTTATACATTCCACACTTCCTAATTTGATGATTACAAAATAATTCCCAGCTTTCATATTGAACAGAAAATATCTCCATGGATTCAGTACAACAAGGAACTAAATTCACGATAATTTTATTTCTCATCACACCGGAGAGATTATCACGGTTGAGCGACATGATTCATGTTGAAAGGCCTGAAACATTCTTTCAGAATTCAGTCAAAAGCTTCTGATTCCAGATGTCGGGTTTCTATTGTTTAACTAACTTTGTATCCATGTTGCAACTATACAGTTGAGTTCGTGAGCCAGAGCCATTCATGCCAATCTGTTGTGCGCTGGTTTCTTATGCTCTATTTTGAATTGTCAATTGAGAGAAAAAGTATCTCCCAATTTACAGACCATAAAATCATTCTCCCCTAGCGTACTGAACAGAACCTATCTCCAAAGAATTCTTAGGCATGAGAATTAAATTGAACATAATATTATCCTGTTTGGCACCAATATGGTTGGTATTGGTGTGATAAATGTCACTGTATTCTGCCCTAAATATCATGATCCTTGGAAAATGTCAGTAGATGGCAGACCAGGTGATCAGCCATTGACCAATTCAGAGTTCAATCCAATTTGGTGAGGTTAGCATCGTGTTCAGGAACAAATCTCCATTCTCCCTTCAATGTATCCTCTGAATTTAAAGTGTCAGAAGTTGCATTAGATTAAATGGTGACGTGAATCATTGTCGCAATCTTTCATAATAACACTGTCTTCACGATGACCTGGTAAAATGTGCCTGTCAATTGCACAAATTACGATCTCGGAAAACATTTTCTCAATGGGAAGTAGGGTGCATATTTTTTTAATTATTGTAACATATTCTCTGGTCCAATGCATATTCCTTGTTGAATGCTGTCAACAGTTTTTCAGAAATGTCCTGAATCAAGCTTTGCGTATTGATTGTCATGACACCTGTTTGTCTTTTCAAGAAACAACTACAACAACAGAGATTACCACACCGCAAAGTACCACTGCCAGTTCCACACCTGGTGAGTGAGGATTTCTTTCGGTTCCAATTCCAGCATATATGCAATCAATTCAGTCAGATCATAAAATGAAATCTGCTGTGTAATCTGTTAGCTGAAATCATAATTCAATTCATTGTTTGCAAGGTCTCGCTTCGAGCATTCAGACACGAAGATTTCATGTGTGCTGTATTCTGACGTTTCCTTCAACTTGTATGAATCCTTGGAGCGATATGGGATTCAGACACTTTGTCCCTTTTTTGGCTTTTCTGGTAACAGTCACCCCCATCACGAATGTCCTCTGCTACCTTCTCCTTGAATTTTGATTTTCTAATTTTCAATGCAAATTAACACTTCCCAACCTCTAATTGGTGTAATCCAATCCTAGTTATGTGACCCACCAGCGTGACTCAGGGGGAATCCACCTCATTGGAAGAGAGGCCTCGGGGCCAATTTTGCCTGAATTTGAACACACTTCTCCCATGCCAATCTTGAAGCCACATGTTTACCTCATTCATTGTATTCACCCTTTGCCAATTCCCTCGTTGCTAAGGTCGTAATCCAGAAATTATTGCCATTTTTATTCTGATTTAACACTTCAGGCCCAGTTTACCATAAACATCAAGCAGAACCTGGTTCTCATTCTAAATCTGTCTGAGGTAGCTACCACGACAACTGGATCTTTCTCCTTCCACACTCGTTCCTATTAAGACCAGATGTGATACCACGAACACTGGCACCAGGCAGACCAGAGACCACAGTGTCCATGCTGCTAACAAAGCAATTACAACTACATTTCCCTTTTCTCTTCACAATTGAATGACTCTCTGTATCTCAGTGCTGTGGTCCGTTGCTCATATTCCAAACAGGCCCTGCTCTTTCCCTCACAGCTGGGCCAGAATCTCATACGTGCTGGACAAATCCTGAACCTGTTGTACAAACCTTCAGGATAGCACAGTGTTCTGGACTGAATCTCTGTTCATCTTTCAATGCACTGTCTGAATTCAAAGTGTCAGGAGCATATGTGAGCTTAAATAATGAGTAGAGTCAGTGTCTCGATGGTCACAGTGACGCTCTATTCATGGAGCACTGATGAAATGTGCAATTGGACTGCACAAATTATCATCTGGCAGGATATGTTCAAATCAGGCACTTGTGGGCATTGATTTATTTTACTTTACAAGTTCTTTGCTCCTTTATGTGCCGCGTCGAGTGCTGCTAAAACTGTTTCAGTGCTATCCTGATTCAAACTTTGTGTATTGATTGGCATGACGTTTGTTTGTCTTTTGAAGAAACTACTACAACAACTGAAACAACCACCACATCAAGTACTACTGGCAGTTCCACACCTGGTGAGTGAGATCTTCCAACACGAAACATGAGCAATGATTTTCAACAACAATTCAATAAGCTCCTACTGAGGGAAATTCCTTTGTCAGGCTTGCTTCTCGAGTTGCATTCTCATTTAAGAAAATGTCACGATCAGGTCCCACTCCAGACCCTGTGCAATAAATCCAGCCCCAGACAAAGGACAACACTGTGTCGGAGTTGTTAGTGGCTCTTAGTTGAAAGTTCAACTTCAGTTTTTTCAGGGTCTGGCTCTTCCATAAATGATAATCTTTCTCACAGCTCTGTTAGGTGCTTGCTTATTATGCCTTGTTTGGAATTGCCTGCTTAGAGATTCCACACTTACTAATTTAAAGTTTGCAAAATCATTCCCTCCTTTACTGGTGTGTGGAAAATACCTCCAAGGGCTCATTAGTGGCTCCAATCCCGTCAACAAGTTTGAGAAACTGATTGACGTCTGAAACAATCTTTTAGAATTCAGTCAAAAGCTTCTGAATCCCGATGTTCTTTTTTTTTGTCTAATGAACAGTGTATCCATGCTGCAACTGTACTTTTGAGTGCATATGTCGTTGCCATTTCTCCGAAATCTGTTTTCTGGTTGCTTCTTACGGATTGTTTTTCAGTTGTCAATTCAGAGAAAGCACATTTCCGAATTTTATGCTGATATCAACATTCTCCCTGAGCATAGCGAACAGAAGCTATCGCCAAAGAGCTATTAGATCTGTGAATTAAATTGAGCATAATATTATCCCTTGTGCCACCAATATGATTAGTGTCAATGATAAGTATGAATGTATTGTGCACTAAATGGCGAGATTTTTGGAAAATGTCAGTAGACGGGAGACTTGACGATCACCAATTGACTAATTGAGAGTTAAATTGAACTTGGTGAGGATAGCATTGTTTTCAGGACTGAGCATTCAATGCACCCTCTGAAGTTTAAGTGTCAGACGATGCACTAGCATAAATGGTGACTTGTATCTGTCTCTCAAACTTTTACAATGACACTGTCTTCACGGAGACCTGGTGATATATGCAAGTTGATTACACAAATTATGATCTGGCAGAATAATTTCCATTCAGGAAGTAGCATGCCTATTTGTAAATTTATTGTTACATATTCTCTGGTCCACTGTATATTCCCCTTTTGAATGCTGTTAAAAGTGTTTCAGTACTGTCCTGATTCGAGCTTTGTGTATTGATTGTCATGATATCTGCTTATCTTCTCAAGAAACAACTACAACCACAGAGACTACGACACCACCAAGTACTCCCGCCAGTTCCACAACTGGTGAGTGAGGATTTCTTTTGTTAAACATGAGCATTTAGTGTCGGTGATAATTAGGATTATGTTTTGCATTTAATATATTGATTCTTGGAAAATGTCAACAGATGGAAGACCAGTGATCAGCTATTGAATAATTTAGAGTAAGATCCCATTTGTTGAGGATGGCATTGTGTTCAGGACTAAATCTCCATTAATCCTTTAATGCACCCTCTCAATTCAAAGTGTCAGTAGAGTGTGCTAGCATAAATAGTTGAGTTGTATCAGCATCCCAATCGTCCATTCTGGCACTCATTTCATGGTGAAATGTGTAATTGGATTGCACAAATTATGATCTGGCAGGATTTTTTTTATCAGGCACCTGTGGGCATCATTTTAAATTATTGTTACACATTCTCTGTGATCTTTTGTGTATCCCTGTTGACTGCTGTTAAAGTTCTTTCAGTACTATCCTGTTTCAAATTTTGTGTATTAATTGTCGTGACATTTGTTTTCTTCTGAAGAAACCACAACAACAATAGAGACTACCACCACACCAAGTACTACTGCCAGTTCCACAACTGGTGAGTGGGATCTTCTATTATTAAACATGAGCAATTATTTTAAACAAGAATTAAATGAGCTGTTGGTCACAGTAATTTCTTTGTTAATCTTCGTTTATGAATTACATTTTCACTTCAGACAATTTTGGAATTAGGTCCATTTCTGGAGCCTTGTACATTAGATTTATTGACATCCTGCAGGGAATGGTAAACACTATGTCTGAAGAGTCGGTTGTTAGTTCAGAGATTTATTTACGTCTTTGTCTGCAATTAATGGCTATCCATGGTTGTAGACCATTCTCGCCACATTCCTCTGCTGTGTGCTTGTTTATTATTCATTAACTTGAATTGTCAACACAGAGAATTCACATTTACCAGTTTGATGTTTGCAATGTCAATGACGCTGAAAATATGGATGGACTTGTCTATGTCTCTACAAATGAAACAATGTTACAAACGTTCTAGTGAAAGTGGAAGTTCGTAAAATATTAGGTAAAACGTGTGTAACAAGGAAGGAAACATTGAAGAGTCTCACTTCCATAGGTTGATAAATCAGCAGAGCTGGATAAATTGAATCTTAGGCTGTTAAAGGAAGCTAGGGAGGTAATAGTGGATGCTGTGAGGGTCATCATCTAATCCTCGCTCAATGAAGACAAGGACAAAAGGACTGGAGATCTACAATGTTGTAACAGTATTCAGTAAGGGCGCTTGGGAAAGGACAAAGGAAAAGGCCAATTAGTATGCTCTCCGTGGTGGACAAGTTACTGGAATCAATATTGAAAGATAGAATTAACTGTTAATTAAGGAGCTACAGATTAAGCCAGTGGTAGCTAGCACAGTTTTGTTCAGGAAATGTAATGTCTTACTAACCTAATTGAATTTTTCTGTGGAATTACCAAGGAAGATTGATAAGGGTAGTGCACTGAATGTTTCATATGTGGACTTTAGTGAGGCATTTGACAAGATTCAACATGGCAGATTGTTTAAAAAAAGTTAAAGACCATGGGATACAGAGCATTGTGGCCAATTGGATCCATTATTGGATCTGCGACATTAAACAAAGGGTAGTACTTGATGGATGATTTTAAGAATAGCTAACAGTTTCCAATTATCTTCCACAGGCTCATTGTTGGGGCCCTTGTTATTTGTGATTAATATCAGTGATGTGGACATAAATATGAAAGGCTTGATCGGGTAATTTGCACAAGTTGCAAATAATGACCAGGTTGTCGATAGTGAAGAGACTGGCTGTTAACAGCTGAAAGATACCAATGGTTTGGTCGACTAGATGATAAAAGTAGCAAATAGAATTCAATCATGAGAAGTGTAAGGTAATAAATTTGAGGAGAAAAAATAAAGCAACATAAAGGAGGGTATTAAGCTGGGCAAAGGAGGTGAGGCATCTTGCAGTGCATGCTTATTGGTCCCTGAAAGCTTCAACATACATAAATAAGATGGTAATTGAAGTAAATAGGATGCTATCCTACCTTGGGTAAGGCTTTGAATACAACAACAGGGATGTAATCCTGGAAATATTTCATGCACGAGTTCGGTTATAGCTGGAGTATTACATATACTTCTGGTCACCACGTTACAGGAGGGGCAAAAAGGCTCTAAAAAGAATACAGAGGATATTTATAGCAACATTGTCACTGTTTGAAAATTGCCAGTAGGATTAAAGATTGGAAAGTTTAGCATTATTTTCCTTAAAACAGAGGCTTTTGAGAAGTAACTCAATTGAAGTGTGCAAAATAATGTGGGGCTGCGATAGAGTGGACAAAGAAGATCAGTTTCCTCTAGTGCAGAGATCAGTTACCAGGGGACATGGATGTAAAATGCTTTATTGAAGGATTAGAGGGGGTATGAGGAAAAACCTTTTAACCCAGAGAGTGTTGGGTGTTTGAAATTCACTAACCCGTTTGGTGATTGACATGGAAACCCTCAACCTATTTCAAACAGACATCAATCTACAACTGAATTGCTGTCACTAACAAATCATTGGCCCAGGTGCTGTTAAGTGGGATTAGAATGGGCAACTAGTTTATTGAGTTCGCAGGCTGGCTAAACTTAACTGTAACTTTTCCATGGTTCTGTGGTTATGTTTCTATCTTTGAGGCATTTGGCCTGTATGTTTTTGAGTGCGTTTGAATTTCGGACATAATTATTTTCAAAAATTGACATGCCAGAAGTCTTTACTTTCTTAATTTGAATGTTCATAAACATTCTTTCAAAATTGTCTCAAAATCTTGTGATTTAACCACGACAGTGTCACCAACAACTACTGGCTCAACCACTGGCTCCACAACTGGTGAATAATGATGACTTTCATTATAAATTACAAGGCCTTAAACACAAGTGAATTGATAGTAGCTTTAGCTCCTCATCAATGATAGTTTGTTCCCTTGCTTTCCTGCACATTATTCTATTCCAACCAGAGGAAAGTTTTTATTGGCATAAAACAAAATATATTTTGGGTCACTAACTTAGGGTTTACATTTGTCTTTTAAAATGGTCTTAAAACCAATCTCTCCTGTCTTTGAAAATGGGACATATCTCAACTGGGTTATTAGATCACACAACTAAGTTGGGCATAGGAGTAACTCCTCAGTACTAACATGGTCATTGAAGAAGACCACCCTGATTGAATTTTGCAATAAATGTCTTGAGGGATGGGAAATTTCTCCAATGGTAAATTTGGTTATCAGCTATTGAATAACTTACAGGAAAAACCATTTTGTTAACAATGGCATTGTGTTCTGGATTGAATCTACATTAATTTTCCAATGCACCCACTGAATTCTAAGCGTGAAAAGAGAGTGTGAAACCATAAATGGCACCTGGAATCAGTATCTCAATTTTTCAGTGATAGTCATTTCAAGGAGAGATCCAGGTTGATTACACAATCTGGCATTATGATGATCTGGCAGGATATTTTCTGATTAGGCATCAGTGGCAATAGATTTTAAGCATTCTCTTTTCATTTGTGTATACCCTAAGGATTGCTGTTGAAACTCTTTCCGTTCTGTCTTGATTCAAGCTGGGTGTACTGATTATAATTGCATTTGTTTTTCTTCTGAAGTAATAACAGAGACGACCACCATAGCTAGTTCTACTGCCAGTTCTACAACAGGCGAGTGATATCATCCTTCGTTAAACCTGAGCAATGATTTTAAGCAAACATCCAGTGAGCTCCAAGTCAGGGAAATTCCTTTGTTAGTCTTAGTTCATGAGTCGCAGTCTCATTTAAAATATTGGGAATGGATTCCCCATTCAGAACTTTGTGGAATAAATCTAGTCACATCTTATAAAGTCCTACAGAGAAATGACAACACTGGGGCTGAGTTGTTGGATGTTGGATAAACGGTTAATTCAAACTTTTGTCTGTTCTCTCTGATGGGCTTAAAAATGCTTGTCAAATTATTTTGAAGATGAGTAAATTGTTCTCCTGAGTAGATTGTTCTCCCAAATGTAGCATCACAGAAATATTATGGAACAAAATAAGGCCATTCAGCCCTTCATGACTACAGGGACATTTCAAACAAGCATCATGATTTGGTAATATGTACCTGACCCTTTCCCACATATTTGCATGTTGTTTTCATTTAAATTATCATCTGACATCCTCTTGAATACTTATATTTCAATTGAACCTGCCTCCACTACACTTCCAGATTTGACTCATCATTATGTTGTAAGTTTCTTCTAACACCACATTTAATACATTTACAAATCACTTTAAATCTGTCCCCATCCTTGTTCAATTCTTTAACAAGTGGGGACAGTTTCACCCTATCTAGTCTATGCCAATATCTCAGGATTTTGAAAACTTTTATCAGATGTCTTTTTAGCCTTCTTCTCTCCAAGGATAATGTTCCCCATCTCAGTGTCCTGTCCTCATAACTGAACTTTCTCATCATTAGAACCATTCCAGTAAATCTCTTCTGCATTCTCTCTGCATTCACATCCAATCTATAGTATGGTAACCAGAGCTGCACACAAAAATTTGAGGTCTAAAAGGTTTCTTGTGTAAAGTCAGCTGATTCTTCTTGCTGTCACACTTCATGGCTCTATTAAGAAGGCCCAGAATACTGTATGCTTTTCCAACTACTGTCTCCAACAGTCCTGCCACCTTCAATAATCTATTCACATATTGGTGTAACTTCCTCTACTCCTGCACCTACTTAGGAATTGTACCCCTTGTTTTACATTGTCTGCCCATATTCTACCCACCAAGATGTATCAGCTCACACTTCTCCACATTGAACTACATTTGTAACCTATCTGTCCGCTCCACCAACTTGTTTATGTCCTTTTGGATTTCTCCTCACAGTTTATAATGCTTCCAAGTTTGTACCTTGTGAAATCTTTGAAACTGTTCACTGTATACACAGATCAATATCATTAATTTATAGCTGGCAAAGGATGAGTTGCTGTGACTACTCCCGTTGGCCACACTACAAAACTTCTTGTCTTAAACAAAATCTATTGACGATGAGGCTCCGTTACTAATTGCCCAGCCAATTTTGTCTCCACTTTGCAACTGTCCTTTCCAACCATAATCTTTCGCAAAAGCCTGTTGTGTACTTAAATATACAGCAGATGCTGGAAATCTGAAACAAACACTGAAAATGCTGAACTATCTGGCAACATCTGTGGGGAGATAAACAGAGTTACGTTTCAAGTCTAATATGACCCTTCTTCAGAACACTGTTGCTATACAGTGGATAGTTTGAATTCCGCTGATTATCCAACACTTTGAAGTAATGAAAGAAGAACCAAAAGAACTGCGGAGTTGGAAATCAGAAACAACAACAGAAATTACTGGAAAAGCTCAGCAGGCCTGGCAGTACCTGTGGAGAGAAATCAGAGTTAAGGTCTCGGGTCCAGTGACCCTTCTTCAGAACTGTTCTGAAGAAGGGCCACTGGACTCGAAATGTTAACTCTGATTTCTTTCCATTGATGCTGCCAGACCTGCTGAGCTTTTCCGGCAATTTCAGTTTTTGTGACTATGAAATAACTGCTGTTTTCAGCTACACTCTGCATCTCTGAAGAAGGCAGGATCAGAATTCCCAGCTAGAACTGCAGGGTTCAGCAGTAACAGAGAAAAACAGGACTGAGTGAATCTGCCTGTCATTGCCAGTCTTCAGAATATTTGGGCTGGTGTCTCGACTTAGATCTTTCACAATCGCTGTCATTTGATGGGGAGCGTTTTCATTTTGCACATGGAATATACAAGCTTTATCATGGCAGGATATTGACTGGACAACTGTAGCATTGTTTCTCAAGCCCATCTGTTTAATTTTCTTTTATTACCTTTCTTTTAAAATATGTGTATTCCCAGCTGTGAAGTCTCTCTCTTTCTAAACTGTCTTATTTCACGTTGCATGTTTTAATTGTGACTGCATTTATTTTCAGAAGAAACAACTACAACAGTGAAAACAACCACAGGTAGGTCTACTGCCACATCTACAACTGATGAGTTATGTTTTCTTACATTAAACACAGTAACTAATATAAAACCAGAGTATAATTTCACTTAATTTCCTGGTCACTGAAAACTTGTTCTCAGCCTTGGTTCAGAAGTCTCTCGCTCACTTCAGAAGAAGATGTGATTAAATCCCACTTCAAAACCTCTAAGACAAAGGCAATCCATTATGTATTTTGCCAATTGACTTGGACCAATCCAATGGAAGTTCTTGGCCTAAGATTTGTACGACAGCGAGCGCAGGAAGAAAGAGAGGAGACCATTAAAACACCACCAAGAGAAGCCTTAAGACAATGCTGTTGAGTTGACATTTTGATTGGAGTCCATTACCACTCTACAAAATCATGGTGTTAAATTAGTAATTAAAGGAAATAACCAAAAATATTTTAGTTTCTCCAACTGCTTCAGTTATTTCATAGCTTTCTGGCTGATACTATTGAACATTCTATAGCCAATTATTAGTATTTTATATCAATATTAATTGGTGACTGTTGCTTTATTTTGCAGAGGTTCCTTGCAATGGAAAATGGTCTGTGTGGATTAACAACAACAAACCATCTGTTGAGCAAACGCATGATAAAGAACCATTAGATCCAATTCGAGATACCGTGTGTCAATCTTATGGGAACAAGATTACAAATATTCAATGTGAAGCTCTCAAGTTTCCTGGGTATCCAATTAGTAAAACCAATGATACAGTAACATGTGATTTAGACAGCGGATTGATATGCCACAGACCAGCTAGTGGCGCCCTTACATGTTTGGACTATAGAATTAGAGTTTGCTGTGAACCATTTGAAACAACAACACTTCCAACCACAACAACGTCTGTCTCCAGAACTACTACACCTGAAAAATGTTACTGTAATTCAGACCCACCAAGGAAGGTAATCAAGTTGCGATTCATTTCTAATTGGTTTAATGCTGTGTTAAATAATACTTAAAACATTATAGTTATAGTAAATGGATCCCATTATTTCTCACAGCAACTCGCCGTTGCATGCATATTCCATGTCTCTCCCTCACCACCACCTCAGACTGAACCAGATAGTTCACATCCTCCACGTCTATTTTGACCTCCACTAAGGTTCTAAAACCATTTCTTCTCCATAATCCAGATCATTAATTACTGCTTTTATAACATCATTTGCTATGTCTCTGCTTCCATTTGGTTGTGGAAACTCTCATTCGTTTTTTTTTACTACAATACTGTCTATTTCAACATTATCCTGATGGACGTACCGCTTTACACTTTCCAAAAACCTGAGCTCATCTAAATCTCACTTTCCCATACCCACCTCACAACAAGTCCTGCTCCCCAACACTCCTGTAATGCTAACTGTGCATTGACTTTTGCTTGACCTGTGCCTCAGTGATAAAATTCTCATAATCGTCATAATGTTCCTCCCTGACACACACTTCTTTCTCTCTCTGCAAACTCTTCCAGCCCTATGTCAATTTGCAAACTTCACATTCCTCCAGTTCTGGGCTCTTAGCCATACTCCCTTCACCTGATCATGAGGAACTCCACCTTCAGCTGACTGGATCCTATGTTCTGGAATTGCATCCTTGTCACTCACTTAAGAGAGTCACTTAAGCCCACACCTTTAATTAAGTTAGTATTAAACCTATCTCATTAGGATGACCACTTTTGTCTGATTACATACCTCAAGTGAAGAACCTTGGTGCTATTTCTTAGATTAAATGTACTATACATATTCAACTTATGGCTGACACTTGATGTCTTTGGAATGAATCATTTGCAGTGATGAAAGTAATGCCACTTCGATGCCCACTTCCTCTAACAAATCTTGACTATTTCATAACTGTATTTATACTTTTTTTTGAGGTGATCCTTGTCCCTGAAGCTGAAACTCTCTGTCCCCCAATGCTAGCTCAAATCTTTCACCTTGCTTCTGTGCCACCCTTCACAATCAACCCTTCCATTACTGAGGGGTTAACAGGGCTAAGCTGGTGAACAGAACAAACATTTTTTTTTACTTGAGCTTCTAATGCACATCACTTTCCTAGATTGTTAAAGGCAGTACAGAGGTACAAACTTCCCAACATATTTGATTTTCATTTTACACTTCATTTTGCTGTTTTTAGAAAATCCCAAATAATAATATGCAAATAGTGCTTGTATTTCAAGAATGACTTCATAAGAAGCAGAAATTAGGAATTTGAGCAACCTAACTGATATGATGCTGTGGCTTCTGTGAAATTTTTATAGCTGAGCACTCAAACCATAAAGAGAGAAAGTTGTTTCTTTTTATCCTCAATAATGTGGAAATAATATCAGAACGGTTCAACTGTTTAGATATTTGTTCATGTATTAATTTACTTGTTACTCTATCCTAGTGCAATGAAACGTGGCAACAGAACTGTGAGACCATTACTTGTGTTATAGCACAAACATATGAAATTACGAAGGTTCCTTGTTCAGTCCCTGTGAAACCTACATGTTATAGTGGCTTAGAACCCAAAAGTCTCCCAACTAAAGGTGGCTGCTGTTCAACATGGGACTGTGACTGTAGGTAGCTTTTTGATTGATTCAAATTCATTGATTATTAAATTCTATTTAGAAATCATATTCCCATCACATCATTTTATCTGAATCTAAATAATATTTTCTTTTTAATTTTAGGTAACTGTCAACTATGGGGGAACAGACATTATCGTACCTTTGATGGGCTGTACTATAACTTCTTTCGAAATTGTACATATGTTCTTGTACAAGAAAAAGTTCCAAGATACAATTTCTCTGTGATACTTGATAATTATGATTGTGCTCCACAAAGTTTAGTGTCCTGCCCCAAAACACTCATCATTAACTACAATGGATATGTCATCTATTTTTCAACTCAGAAACCTTCGGTAAGTATTAATGTGTGTTCATATGTACTGTGTAATATTTCAGTAATCAGTCAATATCAATATCAGCGTCTTATTTCTTTATTCTATAGTTAAATAAACATTGTTTTGTGAAGAGATTAATGCAGTGATGAATTCTTAGAATTGTGTTCATATCCAGCCCAGGTGAAGTTTCTCTCAATTGTTAGCTTTAAAGCGGAGGTTGCAGATAATATCATTTGGACAGCTTGAATAACAAATATTTTTACCTTAGCTTTTTTGGTTTTGCTCTAGCAGTTGAGTTTAGAACTGGCACCAAACTTCACTAAATAAAAATTGGTGCCGAGTTAAAACTGTACTCGCTACCTTCTTCAGAAATATTGATTACTAGCCTTCAAAATTTTCTTATGATCATTTCCATTGCATGATTTGGTAATACGTTCCTTGAGAATAGAGTTGTCAAATGATTTTTTTAAAATCAGTTTTCTCGTTAATTCTCTTAAAGGTATCTGTCAATGGAATAGAAGTGAACTTTCCATATCATGGAAAAGAATTTAACTTCACAAAAAATTACAACAAAGTTACCATTTATATTCCTGCTATTCGAACCACAATCATTGGTATCAATAACAGCTTCAGGATTAGTGTGCCGGAACAGTACTTCTTAGATAATACCCAAGGACAATGTGGTATGTTTATGTGTTACTGTTACTGTGGTAACAACCTTTCTTTAAATTAGGTCTTTGAAGTTAAGAGACGTTCCAAGGCATTTCACATCAGCATTACAAAACACAGTATGGCACCAAACCACATAGACAGATATTGGGTTGAATGACCAAAAAACCTTGACCAAAGTAGCAGTTTTTAAAAGAACAAACAAAAACAGAAATTGCTAACGAAACTCCGCAGGTCTGGCAGCCTAAGGTCATTGGAGTCAAAATGTTAATTTTGTCTTCTCTCCATAGCTGCTGTCACACCAGCTGAGTTTCTCCAATAATTTCTGCTTTTGCTTGTTTCAGGTCTTCAGTGTCCATAGTTCTTTGATTTATTATGGTTGTTTTTAAGGTAGTTTAAAGGAAGAAAGAGAGGGGAAGATGCGAATGGGGAAATAACTAGTGAAGCCACGGCCAGCAATGGCTCACAGATCAACAAGCGGTCAAATTTGAATAAGCACAAATATTTTGGAGGCCTTCATATCCAGGGGAGAGGACAGTGATTGTGGGTGAGCTCATGAAGGGATTTTAAAACAGAACAGAAAATTTTCACCAGAAGATACTGTTTAATTGGGAGTCTTAGTCGATGAGCACAGTGATGGCTGTTGAACAGAATTTGGTGCAAAACAGCAGCACCAGAAGTTTAATTAACTTTAAGTTCATGGAGATTTGATCATGGGAGACCAGCATGGAATGCTGGTCATGTGGCAGAGCATGAAACCTGACTGGTAGGCTTCAAATTACGAGTTCCAAAAATGATGGGACTAGACCTACGAAGCGACAATGTATTCAAGGACTATGGACAGAAAAGGAAGGCTGAAGATGGCCCTATATCAATAAGCTGCAACAATTATGGTATTAATTTAATGGATTGCAGTTTGGAAAGCAAATGGGACAATTCAAAATCATCATTTCCAAAAAAAGGTCATATTGGATGTTAGCCCTGTTTCCCTTTCCACATCTCTCTCTCTCTCTGTATAACCTTTTAAGTTTCTCTTTCTGTTCTAATATAGATCTCCAGCATCTATTGTACCTTGTTTTTATTTCAATGCCATATCATGTTTTAGATTTTCTCATCAAGTCCTGTACTAGGCTAGGGTCATAGTTGTACACCTTCAGGAATGATAAATATTATTTATAGTTTATTTATTACATAATTAAACACATTGGATGAAACTTAATAAGTGTGTGATTTTCATGCTATTAAACCACTTGTCAGCTTCCAGCGATCTTCTAAACCATTCTTGTATCATCGCAGAAAACACATATCTTAAGTTTTTGAGTACGTAGAGTTTAGACTTTAAGGTTTTATAATTATAATTCATGTTTAAGACATGAATTTTGTGCAAAAAGAGCAAAATAATATATTTATTGATGCAAGATATTTCCACTTCACAGGTTCTTGTTCTAGAAATATAAAGGATGAATGTACAAGAAGGAATGGAAATTTAGAGCCGCTTGACTGCTGTGACAAAACTGCACTTGACTGGAAAGTTAATAATCCCAATAAAGCATATTGTGCAGCAGCTCCTACAAAAGTGCCTTGTGAAGCACCTCCGACTCCCCTTCCGTGTGTATATGGGAAAACAGTGTGTGATATTATATCAGGAGAGTAAGTACTTTTTTTGTGTCATTTCATTGAAAATAAGTGACTAAATCTACCCTTATTCAATTTACAGATTTTTGTTTTAAATCTATGTTTTATATAGCCAACAGGATATGCATAAGGCTTGTTTTTAGCAGCCTAGTGAAAATGCCCTGGGCTGTAAAAGTTTGGCTGAAGATATCGGGAGGTGAGCCCATCGATATTACCAAAGGCAGGAACTTGTGCTTTGTTGCAACCTGGTGACCAGAATGCAGGCGGCCAGTTAAAGAATGAATTCATCAATTATCCCATCATCATCGCCCACCCTTGCTGGCATTTTAGGCATAGGTTGTGATGGCAAGACGTCATGTAGAAACACTCAGATAAATTCAAGTGTTCTCCCACCAGAACCCTGGTAGGAATGGGATCCTTCACTACGGCTCCTCGATCACTTACTTAAGAGGGCCAACTGAACATCTTTTTGGCTTGCAGCACTGTTAAGGAAGATGCACCATCCCCACTGGCCCCCAGTTGCTGGCAGTTGTACACCTGGTCTCAGGAAAATGATAAACAAATAATGTACTCTCTCTTCAAGAGTATCTTAACATGGAGGCAGCCTCTGCTTCTTCTTCCTGTCATACCAATGGCCATTTTTACCTCAAACTTTCCTATCACTGACAAAATAACACCCATTGTCCCACTGCTTATTTACACATGATCTGCTTTGAAGTTTGTATCCCCCAGCGGGTACTAGTTTTTCTCTTTGCAAAAAGTCTAGTCATACCTTTTATCTTGTCCAAGCATTTTAAACTGTATTGTGTAGTTTTTATGATTGGATCTGGCCAGTTAGAAAATGTGAAAGAATTTCATTGTGGTACTTATCCACTTTTTAACCAGCTCTGTTTTTGAAAGGCAATAGAAATGACTTGCGCATTTCTGAATGCTTCTTTGCAAATATGGCTTCAAGGATGTCAGCTACTGCTTTCCTTTTGTAACTTGTTTGCTGTTTCCATACATTTGAGAGAGGCATCTAATGTTTCTCATGATGCATTAAAGGATGGAAGAGTATTTAAGGAGTATCATTGATGTGCACCAACTTAAAATGCATTTCTATTCACTTTAGATAATGTCATTTTGATGTTAACAACAGTAATATAAATGAAGTAGCTCTATCTGATTGTAGTTTTAGGAGTTATTAAGCTGTGCACGTGTCAGGGGAATTTGAAAGAAAAAGTTGAAATGCTGTGCAAGTTAGTGGCATCAAAACCTGGATAATTGTATTTGTTTTGGAACAGCCTTGTTATTTTGAACAGACATAAACTGTGTGCCTTGTTCAACTGCTTGTATGATGGGTTCAACATGTTATTCCAGACGTTCCCTTGATAATTCTCTTAAATATCATTGACTAATACTTATAACATAAATATAAAACAAATTGTACAAATTATTTGAAATTAAGCTTTAGAAATCAGATGTACATCAATGTGTCAAAAAAAGTTGTAAACTTGTACAGTTGCTCAATTGCAGGCATTAATCCTTTCAGATATAGTCCAATGTCTGTGAAATAACACAGGAAGCAATTTTAGATGCTGTTCCATTGTAGGGCAATTTGCTGCTTATAATAAAGCTCTGAAGCTTTCATAGGTGAGAGTTTATTTTGGCTTTTGTCATGTTACCAGCATTTAAATGGTTTTACATTCCTCTTCTACAGTTCATTCAGACATTGCAGAAATAGGCAAGATCTTACAAAGTATATCAAGGCATGTCAGAACGACCACTGTGCAGTTAATTCGACAGAGTTGGAATGTTCTGGTGTGGAAGCTGCGGCCGCGATTTGTAATGCAGCTGGGACTTGTGTTGACTGGAGAGCCTCGACAAATGGATTATGCTGTGAGTGCTATGAACCTTTGAGACTTAAGTTTTAATATATGGGCAGTATCTTCTAGAGGTCTAAGGGACATGGACTGTGGTAGAATTGGGCAAGAAGCATTTTTGCACCAGGATCATTTCCCTCCATCTTGGACACTTTTCATAAGTGCCATGGCTGGATTTTCTCCAATCAGCAGTTAGTTGGCAACTGCCAATTATTAACATTTGTTAATATTCCTGTTTAGAGCATAACGCGCTGCCTTAATATTCCAGTTGAGATCCTACTGAACTCATCGAACGAGTTAGCTGTCTGAAAAACCCAACATGGAATCCAGAGTGGGTTCTTGTCCAGTTCAGCTAGCTGCCTCCTCCCAATGTCCCCCATCTTGCCCACAAACGCTGCCACAAGAACCAGCCACACATACCCTTCCACCACAGACAGCAGCACTTTCAGGGAGCCATTGCTGGCACCTGACATCTATCCAATGCCCTGGCAGTGTGCCTTGCAAAGACAGACTTCTCCAGCAGGGCAACAACATTGTACGGCTGCATGGTGTACAGTAACAGCACAAGGATAGACCTCCACCAGTCCAGAGTGGGGGACTTGGCTGTTCACTAGGGCTGCTCCCTTGCTCTGTCAGAGTGCATATTCCTCCTGTGCCTACTGGCCATGCAGTGGCATTTGGCACAGTCACACATCAAGCAAATGGAATCAGCAGCTAGCATGTTAGAAAGTCTGAAGGCGTAGTCCACAGTAAAGTCAACGGGAGCACCTGAAAACCCCAGGGGTGGGGAGGAGTTTGATGAGGAGGTCTGTTGCAGTCGCGAACATGAGGGAATGGTCAATTTATACAATGTAAGAAACCTTGGGGGAAGGATGAATAAGGGCTGCTAGGTGATTTGCCCACTGGTTGGAGAACCTGTGGAGAACACCCTTCAATTACATGGGGGAGGCCCAACAGCACTATGTGCATAGCAGAAACTTACAAGCTGCTGTCTGACTGGCCCTGGGATCCAGGTTACTGAGGATGGAGTATCCACCAGACAAGAGCTGCCTCTCATTCACTTCTCATTGCAGTCAACATCAAGGTGAATGGTATCATTGCTGAAAATGCACAGCTCAAGCGCAGTGAAGAACCCCCAAGGCCAAAATTGAGTGAGGGTGTAATGAGAGTTGTAGACAGGGGTCATGAGACAGAAGGGCAGAGCAGGTGCAGACATAATGGCAGAGGCATGGCTTTCAGGAACCCCATTTTGCCCATCCCAGGTTTCCTTAATCAGGCATTGTGAGATTGAATGACAAACAACCTCCAGCAGGGCTTTTAGGCAGCCTTTGGAAGGCCCAGGAAAATCATACTGCTCCGTATTAATCCCTGAGCAAGTAAATTGTGGAGTCCTGGGATAATCAGAATGAGTTGGTTCAATTAAACACTACCCATGGTGTCAGAATTACTGAGAGTTGATGGGATTTTAACAGCTTTTGGTTTGAAGCTAGGCATAAGACGTCTGCCTGCAGGGCCTCTGAATTACCAGTGCAATAACATTACCATTACCGTAGTGTTTCCCCACCTTGAGCTCCCCAGAAACAGGGTGACCCACTACAGCAAGCTGCTGGTCTAATAGAGGCTAGCAACTCTTCAGTACTAACGGTTTTAAATATCCATTGGAGATCTACAGCTCAAGTTAAAATGCATTAAAACTTGTGAAAGAAGTAAAAGATTGAACAAGGAATTATTCAGATAAAAGAAAACTATTCCTTTGATCAAAATACTTACATTTCTTTTAGAGTATTAACAAATGATTAAAACTTGTCCTGGGCTTTAAACCCAAACTATATTTCATTTGGGAACAATTATGCATGAACTTATTCCAAACATTTAGATGCTTTTGACAATCTTAATAACAGCAATATTTTGAATGTGCCTGTCTAACTTATTCTAACATTTTATTTTAAGCCTACAACTGTCCATTTGGTTTCACCTATAAAGCCTGCGCCAGATACAATGACAATTATTGTAAGGATGGGTAGGTATTTGTCATGCATTCTGAATTATCCAAATCTGTATCAAAACTTTTCATCACAAATGTACATATTTTGAAGTAGTGGTTTTGACAATTTTATTTTTAAAATGACCGTGCCTTTCATTACTGTCATATTGAATAAATATGACCTATAACTACAATCTTTATTTTCAGTGTGATGATATCTGGGGAGAGATTTGATGAGCGTGTTGAAGGTTGCTTTTGTCCAAATGGAATGATGCTGTCTGAGGATAGAACCCAATGTATTCCTTCATGCACTAGTGAGTAACTATGAAAGTGTACAATTACTTATAAATTATAACTAATATATCGATAAACACTAAGCACTGGCAAAGAGGGCATTCATTTAACAATGTGACACTTCTTTTTCCCCAGGATGCAAAGATAATGCAGGAAACCTAAGATACGTGAGTGTCTCCTCATTATTGTTTTACAAGTCTCTAATTTTTCTAAGTAAAATTATCTGACACTAAAATGCTCTGTAGCTTCAAGACAAAATTTTGCTGAGTTTTTTTTTAAATAAGATAATTACAATTCATTGAACTGCAATCTCTTTAGTCTCTTTTATGGATGTCATTATCTTTTGGCCATAATATATTATTTAAATACCCACATTAAAACGTGCTATCCAGTGACAATATGGAGTGGAATTTTTCCCTATCTGGAGTAACATAGGCAATGGCAAGGAAATTGGAAAAATGGACAAAAATTAAAAATTCAGAATCTCAATGTCAAGAAAGCATTTCCAAATGTTCCCCTTAAACCTGAAACGACATTTTCAGAATCTTGCAGCTGCCTTACTTCCATGGATTTGCATCTCATTAAATCTTCAATTCATCTCATTAAGTCACCACTTCCAACTCTCCTCTCCTTCCCTGAGAAACTAGGTGGCACAAATTCCTGACATGTAAATCAGAGTCACATCCTGGTGGCCACAGCTCGCCTGAGGCTTGTTTCAGACTTCAGCCGGCTCTGTCATCATCAAGTTTCTCTGCAGGCTCCATGAAGACCATCTTCCTCAAAACTTCACCTCTACAAGGTAGCAGCAGCAAGCCACCAGCCACACCATGTTACAGCACCTGCTGTCAATCCAACTCTCACACCACTTCAACCCTTCAGGTGTCCCTGAGCTCCAAAGTGAAGACTTGCATGATTCTGACAGATTGCTTAATGTCCAGGGACACACATGCACCTCATGCATCTCAGCAGGATGTATTCTATCCTTTAAGCTAGGTTTCTCAGCATTCATTCACTCTGCTTGGAGACTGCCAGGCTCTGTGGTTTGCATTCCTTTTCAGCTCAGAGAGAGAGACAGACAGTTTGTCACAGTGGGAAGCACTGAACCGTCAAGGGGTTGGTCCTGTCACTGTATGGCACATGCTATGTCAATTGTACACCCATAGCATGTGCCAACAGTTTACATACAGATACATTGTATGTGCTTCAAGCAAATCACCATGTGTGAAAGTCAAAGTGAAGCTGTACTAACTGGCCTCAAGGAGCCTATAGTCAGGGATCGCTGCCAATAGATAGTCAAGGGGCTTGTCCAATTCCAGTCCAGCGAGTTGAGCCACTGTCAGTTAGGCACTTGATCCCTGAGAGGTTGGGCATCCATGCCATCCGAGTTGGAGATTTGGCTTTGGTCAGTCCTGCAGGTCCAGTACGACCAATGCAAGGAGAACATATGGGGTCAGTCAGGGTGCTATAGAGTCAGCAGGTGGGCTATTTTTTGTCCCCGATAAGACACAGGGAATGATTTGAGTCTAATGAAAGTCAGTGCAAGACCAGTTAATGGTGAGGCAGGAGACATTGTGAGATATGTAGAAAGGGCAAGAAGGGTATGTAGCTTGGAAGAATTGGGTGCGTGAGTGCCATCCAGTGAACATCATGCAAGCCATACTGAGAGGTGCAATCCATGAGCCTTGGTGTGCAGTGTCAGAGTTTAAGCACATTGTGGCCCTATGAGTGGGCAATAGCAGAGAGGAGATGGTGGCACTTAACATTGTGGAACATAAAGGATCATCAACCTCTTCCTCTACTTCCAAGCATTCTGATAATCCAGGACACAGCACTGACACAGGCTGCCATTTGTTTCTAAGCTGGTTGGGTTTAGTGGCATGGACCCTGCTGATGTTCAACAGGAATAGGGACTGCCCTCCTCTCCACTACCCCATCCACAAGCTCCTCCAGCTTCCTGTCTGTAAAACAGGGACCGAGCTTTCCTTTTGGTCCATGTCGTCACATAACAATCGAGCACCACAGGGTGTGGGGCAGTTCCTGGTCTCCAGTGTGTGAATGATGGGAAGCTGGGTTTTATATTTGACACCCTTGGTATGAACGCTGGAAGCAATGGCAGGCATTACCAGCTCTCCTGTCACATAATTACACAAGAAGGGAGCGAAGACCCATGAATCCATAAGTAATGAGGGGAAGAAGAGATCATTATTTGAGAAAAGTCAATCCGAACCAGTCATTCTGGCAGACCTGGCAACATGAATCACACTAAGCAAAACACTTTAACCGAAAATAGTAAATGTAAGCCCATGATGAAACTGAGGAGTTCCAATTATACAATTTGATTTCGAATGTTACAGCACTGAAAAAGGCCATTAAGCTCATCAGTACTGTGCTGTCTCATTGAAAGTACTATAAAATTATTTCCATTTCTCTGCTTTTTTCCCATTGATCTTGCAAATTTTTTTTCTACAAATATATATTCAAATTCCCTTTGTAAAATTGAATCAAATAGCTGCTCCCTTTGAAGTCAGGCTTTTCAGCTTATATGGATATATTGCATGAAATAATTTTCTTCATTACATCCTTGTTCTGTTGTCACTCATCCTTAAACCTGCCTCCTATGTGTACTGACCTCCTGCCAACAGGAACAGTCTTCACCCACCTATTTATCAAATACCTTTATATTTTATTTGTCCTTTCTTATCCTGTTACTTTTTTAAGGATGTAAGCTGTAGAAGAATAATTTAACTTAGCAATCAACTCGTGATGTGATTTCAGGATACATTGATCTCCATCTACATTTTTATGAAACATGTATGATCACTCTTGACCTTAGCCCTTATTACAAAGTTTTCTCACATCCCATGCTTTCTTTCAATATTTTCTTATATTATCCCATACTGCATTAAACTACTTTATTTTTAAATCTTTAGTAATTGGCCTAAAAATTGCATTTGCTTTTATTAATGTTCAGTGTAAAGGAGCTCATCATGATGGTTAAAGGTTTTCCCAGCATTACCGAAGGATGGACTTGTTGATGCTTTGAACAATGGTTCAGTATCAATGTTTTAAACTCCAGTAGTTGTCACTGTGTAGATCCCTTCAGTTTAGATTAGTCACAGATTAAGAACCTTGCCGGTTGAATTTCTGGTTTGTGCTGTGTTATCTGATAATAGTCCAAGAAAAGTGGATGTTGAATCAACTGGGATTATACACATTGGAAATCCAGTGCAGGAACATTCCCGCTTATTGACAGTGGTGTGGTATCAATGACGTGTTCTGTGGCCACTCACTGCTCAGTTCACATATGAAGAACAATCTTCTGTACAATACTCAAACCAGTGAGTCAGCTAGACATTGCTGGTTTGTGCTACAAAATAATGCCAATAGTGCGGGTTCAATTCCTGTACCAATGAAGTTACCATGAAGGACTCTCCATCCTGACCTCTCCCCTCACCTGATCGGTGGTGACCTTCGGGTTAAACTCACTACCAGTCATATCTTTCTCTCTACTGAGAGAGTAGCCCTATGGTCTGGTAAGACAATGGTGACTCTTTCTGTACATAGTGACATATATGTGGTGTAATGCTACTGAATGGAAAATCCAGGACCCCAGTCTAATGTTCTGAGGATGTATTCAAATCCCACCATTTCAGACGGTGAAACTTGAATTAAATAAAAATTAGTTAAATGGCAGGAATGTAACCATTCTCAATTGTTGTGATAACCGATCTAGTTTATTGATGCCCTTTAAGGAAGGGGTCTGCCACCGTTACCTGCTCTGGCTAGATGTGACTTCAGGCCCATAGCAATGTGGTTGAACCTTAATGGTCCTCTGGGCAATAAATGCTGACCCAGACCGGGTCACCAACATACCATGAATGAATTTTACAAAAGACCTTTTTTGCCTCCTTAGCGTGTTCATTATAGCAGTGCGAGCATTGAAACAGAGTCGTTTCAGGGTATTCAACACAGTCGGATGGATTCTACCCGAGACATCAAATCTCACCTGACATCAACAAAATCAAGCCTGGCAGGAATTGCTCAATAGAAATCATAAATAGGAATCTTAGCCGATTATGTCAGTCCAATCCTGTGCCATTAAGGGAAATTGTAATGATCTAAATCTTCTGCCAGCTGGGTTTGGTTATCTTGATGGACAGCCTAAATTTTCCTGGACTATGTGGCTTAACTATTCACTGCCACAAACATTTGAACCACTTGGAAGGGTCTCCTAACTTCTTTGATTTAACATAATTTTTCTAACAACATTTCTCTGCTTTCCTTTTCCAGGAAGGTGAAAGTTGGTCTCATCCCAATGATACATGTATCCACTACCAATGTTCAGGAGGTGTGGTGACAAAGACACAAATAACATGTTCATCTCGTCCAACCTGTGATGAGGTCAGTGCAGACTTGTACATGGTTTTAGTACCTTATTGTTTGTTATGAGGTGGAGGTGGAGGTGTTGGACTGGGCTGGACAAGGTCAGAAGTCACAGAACACCAGGTTATAGGGCAACAAGTTTATTTGAAATCACAAGCTTTCGGAGCACTACCTGATGAAAGGGTTGTGCTCTGAAAGCTTGTGATTTCAAATAAACCTGTTGCACTATAACCTGGTGTCGTGTGACTTCTGACTGTGATGTGCTATAACACTGAAGTATTCATTTGTTTTTCTACAATCTCCGAGCACTAAAAAGAGAAATAACCTAAAATTAGAGGAGAAAACGTTCTACCACTATTAACTTTTAGAATTCACTTTTAATATTAAATGAGGATTAGGTGGGGCAGTGAAGAAATACCTATTCAGGATTTGAATGGTATAATAAATCATTAAACTGTTCCTTAATCTCAGTAACCAGGGTTTTAATGCAGGTCAGACAGATGTGATAAATGCGCTTCTGTTTGCTGAAAGTTTTTACTCAAAGGATAATTGGCTAAACTCATGGCTGTTGTTCAGAGTTTGGGTCTGCAGTTCAACAGTGTCTTTAATTTTGATCAAATTTAAAACAATTAACAATCTTATCTGAGAGGTGAAACTCTAAATTGGAAATAAAAATCAGATGCAATAATAGATTTTAAGAGGGTGGAATTGGAACTGTTGATGAGACAGAGTAAATGGAATTTTAACCTGCACTTGGATATGCCATTTTGGCCCAAATGATCTTGTGGTAAGCCTAAGCCATTCTGAGTGAATAACAGCCTTCTCTCTGTAATTTAAGTGAGTTGATTTCTGGCTTCTTAATTCTGGCCATCATGTCCACAATACTATAAAAACACGCAATATTCCTCAAATCCATACATTGTTGTAGTACAACACAGTTCTGAAGTTCATATACATAGACAGAAAAAAAAGACAGTGTTTTCTGCCACAATGCTTAGTTGTCACTGATTATCTTCACTGCTGACTCTGACACAAAAATATCTACTTTTGTGCAGCACTGGCCTAAAATGTACATTAAAAGTCAAAAGATCAATAATGAGCTGTTTGAAGCAAAGATAAAATTGAAAGTGAGCTATAAAATGCACTCGTAACTTACTTTAAGCATCAAGCATGACTGGAGTGTGTGGCTCAACCAGTCCATGACAGCACTTACTCTCCATACAGGCAACCAATTCTAAACATAACTGTCCACACTGTTCCCATATCTCCTCTACGAGTATTCATTAATATACTTGAAACAAATATTCTTGCCTTTGCCTTCAAAAGCAAATGTGCTTTGAGAATAAATGGCCATTCTTTCCAGGGACACTTAAGAAAATACAACTGGAATTTATTAATCGTAATCTGCATTTTCTATAACATGGGAACTCCAGCAGCAGGTGGCAACGGTGGTGGAGGGCACTGAGCAGGGGAGCTAAGTAATCTTCTCAGACCTCCAGCAGTAAAAGGTGACAATGAGAGAGGGATGTTGGAACAAACCCACATGGCCATTCCATGTGTATAGTATTCCTTGTTTATTGTTCATTTTTTCCTGTTTGTGATGCCCCAATGCCAGTGGAATAAAGAATCCCTCCATCATTATCTTTGGGCTGTATGTATGTTTGAGTTGCATGTAATATCTGTATAGTTAGCGCATCTTCCACATTCAACACTAGTATAAACTGTAAAACAATGTATATTGTGCAACCAGGACAATTTAGTATTTTCTGTCTGTTTAGGCTAACAAAACATGGGATAGCTATCACTGCTGCTACGACTGTCATCAGGAATGTAAGCATTTCATTTTGTGTACTTTTGACTATTTCAACTGTTTATTCTTCCTTGAAATAATTTATTGAACACCTTGCTTAAACAAGCTGCTGTGGCTCTGAGTTTCATCTTCTGTATATGTTATGAATCAGTCAGCTGAGAAAAGTGACTATATTTCAAGAGTATTTAATATGACAATGAACTACTTTGGAGTCTGCTAAGGTTAATTTGAATTTGGAAAACTGCATGTTCTTTTCTTTCTATATCAACACGCATTGAGACATGAGATATGATTGACAGGTTTCCACTTGACTTCACAATTGTGAGATCAATGCTTTGGCTTTCCTGCTGACTGATGGGTCAGATGCTGAAGTAACTGCTCCAATACCAGATTGGCGAAGTACTGAAGCAGCACAAAAATATGTCATCAATTCAGTGCAGTTCAACAAAGAATTTTGACCTCCCAGCATTGGAATTGTGATTGTACATCCTTCCTAATTATGTTAAGCTAATGAACTGATTTTATGGATCACGGGAAAGCCAACACCACATATGATCGGGCAGAACTCCTGCCCAGCTGCCACTTTAACCTCTGCACAGATCCAGTGGAAATTTAAAACACAATTTCGAAGGTGCAATTTAGTTCTTGTCTTTTTAAGCAAGATTTCCATTCCAACAGCAATGTGTGGAAAGCGAATTGCATATTTATACCAATCAGCAGAATCATTAATGTTCAATTATTTCCTTTAAAGATGATGGTCTAAGCTTATTTTACATCTGAGGGAAATCTAATAAAAATTTCTTCTGCTGGTGTCTCTTGTCGATAGCTTAAAAGGTTTTGTTCTTCAAAAGAAAAAATCCTGTTGCCTCTTTCATTTCTTAAAGTCAATTGATCTATTTGTACCAGTTGAGTATAACGCAACGTAAATTTTTTGAAAATAATGTTCTGATTAATTCTTCCCAACACCTACAGTAAAACTCTGCAAAGTAAATAAGAAACAACTCAATGTCACGAAGAATGGCTGTTCAGCAAACATTGAGGTGCAAGTATGTGATGGATACTGTGAATCATTTGCCATGTAAGTAATTTGATTTAACATTTTTGTATGTTTTAAACAAAATTGTGAATCAAACTAAAGTTCAAAATAAGCTTGATATGTACAGCAGGTCAATGAACTCTGTTGTAGCAAAGAGACAATAAATGGTTTAGACCTATACACTTTCAATTGATGAAAAGCACATGAATAGAAATGGAAAGTGGGGAGAGCATAAGACAAGAAAACGCAGGGATGGAATGACTGTTGGATTATGCTAACTATTATATAAGTCAATGAATCGATAAATCAAAGTCTTTAATGCCTATAACAGGCTTCTAACTCTTTCTCCAACTCTTCCCTTGATGATGCAGACATAATGCTACAAATTACAAACCTCCTTTCACTACTTTAAGCGATTTCCTTTAAACGTCTGAGTTATCCACTCATTCCTATCAGCTTGCTATATCATTGGATGGTTTATGAACCACCATGTAATAATTCATATCAAAATCTGTTCAGACCATTTGTATAATAGGTCCAAAGGTCTCTGAAGAGACTCAAGCATGGAATTTACTGGCCGAAATTAGATCGTGTGTGATAAAACCAACTGCTGAATTCCTTTTCTCCTCAGTGGAAATTTCCTTCTTCTCATCCCCTGATTTTCTAAGGACCCCAATTTGATAGAGGAGGGGGAAGCATAGACCAGGAAAATGGCTGATCTCAGTGCTTCCTGTCTTTTATATCACAGAATGAAAGGGATGGAAAGTATTTCTGAGTACATTGGCAGAAAACCTACTGAAGGCCTTTTATAGTGGTTGAAAGTCGAGCAATTGTCATCCAGTTCCAGTGCAAAATCATCAAATTTCATAAATATGTGCAGCTTATGCAGTTTCAACTTTTCCACCTTATTTCAATTTGAGAATTGTCAAAATATTACATACTATGAATTACACTGAATTACTTGCTTATATTTTCATTAATTTCACGCTGGATAAATACCTTGACATCATCTTGATGCTAGGCTTGTGAATAAAATACATAATTGAATAAGGTAACAGGTTAACTGGATTGAATGACAACCTAATTGGGATCTTGTTCTTTTTCAGGTTCAATCCCGAAATGAATGGCATGGAACGAAAATGTTCCTGCTGCAATGAAAATGAAACTGAGACAAAAGCAGTGATGCTGCAATGCCCCAATGGAACGACTCAACAATATTCATATATTTCTGTAAAGTCATGCCAGTGTAAAATCTGTGCAGGAAGCCAAGTATCTTAATGTCACACTCACATAGCTAACTAGCTGAACATATTTCAGTTGATGCTTAAATTGGAAATTGACTTCTAAAGTCAAAGACTCTTTTTCTTTATGAATTCTGTTTGATTGGTATCATCTAATGGTGATAAAATAATATTGTAAAGTTTCATTTACTCCTAACTACTTCTTTTAAACTGTGGGAATGCAGTCTATTCATAACACGTCATTGATCTGTTTCAAACCTTTCGCTTGTTTAATGGCAAATTAAAATCAATAAAGCTTACTCCATATGAACTTATCCTTGCAATTTGCATGTTGTCATATTTGTTCCATTATTTTAAATACAATTGTATGTGAAAGAAACATAATTTGTTTACAATTTAAATTCACCAACTCTGCACTCCTATTTATGGTACCAGTTCTCCAACTATTATGGTAAAGGATTTGGCAAGTTAAATGGAAATAAACTTGAAGTTCTGTCAATTCTGATATGTAACACAGCCACTCAGTACAGCATCGGGAAGTTTGGACAGACAGCAGAACATTGAGAACCATGCGTCTGACAATGTTGTGCTAATAACAGTTAATATAACCTACATATAATTGCTGTAATTATTTCAGATTTCCAGTGTAGTGATTAAAATAAGGTCAGCCAGGTGGATCTCAGAATATAAGGTCCTTGAGCGGGGGTGTTAACCTGGGTCCAATCAGGCAGTCCTGGCTGACAGATATAAACAGGGGTGTCAGAGATTCTGTTCACTCTGAGAGTTGGCTCTGAGGGAGCTGGATCAGTGTCAAGTAATCTCCACATATAAGTAAAGGGTGACTTGGTGACCCTATAGAGTTATTTCAGTGGCAATGAAAGAAAAGCATACTCCTTAAGAAATTTACTTGCAATATTCGTGTTTGAGTTGGGATAAGCATTTCTGGCATGAAGCCGTTATTTGGGGAACTGACTCGCTCCATCCTGCATTGGAAGACTGGGCCCAGTAGCTGGAAAGAATGCATTACCTTTTTCAGGCAAATAACACTGGGGCAGATGGAAAGCAAAGAGTAATTCTCCTGGCAGCTTGTGGACCCGCAGCTTTTTCAGTTATTAGGAGTCTAACTTCCTCTGTGCACCAAAAAAACATTTCAAGAGTTGGGATTTAGTTAAGGAATGTTACGACCCCAACCCGCATCTAATTCTGAGGCACTATCAGTTTTACTCAGCAATTTGACAACCTGAGGAATCCATATCAGGATTTTTGACTAGGTGAAAATGACTGGCAGAGGCATGTGGCTTTGGTTTTACCCTTAAGGAAATGATATAACCATGCAAAAGAGCCTACGAGCTGAAGCCCACCTAGACATCAACAGGCACCACAACTGGCTTTATCATTGGGAAATATAACAAATGGAATATATGAGTTGCAGGGTATTCCAACAGAAGGGGACATCCTTGCCTGGCTGACTGCACTTGGGGAGCACCACTTGAGTGAAGGCAATTGCAGTGCCTCGCTCAGGACATATCCTGACAGAGGGACTGTAGGTCAACCCACACCAAAAGTGCAAAACAAAACCAAGCCTCAGCTAAATGGTTAAAAGTTTCTTCAAGCCATTGCAGTTGCTGCCAGTATGCTTACTTAAGACAGCAAAAGAGTAAGAGAACTCATCCAGGAGAATGCACACCCTGGAAAGTCAACACACATCTAGTTTTCAATAGTTAAATTGCTTGGCAACATTCAAATCATAAGTAATCATAATAAAGATCTGGTTAAATTGTCACCTGGTTCTAATGGAGGTCGATACTGGTGCGGCCATTTCAGTAATCACTAAACAAAATTCGCTCTGGACTCCAACCCTTATATTTGCACAATCTATACCGGGGAACCTTTACAGTTTAAGGGTACAACTTCAGTTCTGGTCTCAAGAAGCAGCTGGTTCAGTTACCACTAATTGTAGTAAAAGGATCGGGACCAAAATTGATGGGGCAAAATTAGTTGAGAAAGATTCACCTTGATTGACTCAGCATTTTTTGATTAGAACATGACTGCCTGAGTGAAGTCCTAGTTAGGAGGTTTTTCAGGAAGGTCTCGGGACTATCATAGGAGTCAAGACCATTTTGCATGTTGACCAGGAAGCAATTCCACGATTTTGCAAGGCCTGCCCCATGCCTCTTGCCTTGCGGGCAAAAGTAGAGGCAGAAAATCAGAAGGCTGGAAAGCGAAGGAAACCAGCCCAGTTTGCAGAATGGGCAGCACCAGTCATACCGATTGTGAAGCCTGATGGGTTGGTTCACCTTCGTGGGAATTTTAAACAAATGGTAAACTGCTTTCTGTAGCTGGTAAAATAAACAATCCCTCGCATAAAGGATTTATACACAAGCTGGCAGGTGGTGAGGGCGGGGGGGCTGACCATCATGAAGCTGGACACGAACCATATGTACTTGCAATTGCAGTTAGATGAGAATTGCCAGAAGTATATTACAATTAATACCCATAAGGCTTTGTACCAATGCACAAAACTGCCATCTGGGGTGTCATCAGCCTGTGCAATTTTTCAATAAACAATGGAGAACATTTTACAAGGTTTACCTCAGGTCACCATTTAACTAGATGACATGCTAATATTAGGGAACTGCAATCAGAGACCTTGGAAATAGTCCTTAGACATTTCTCCTCGGCATGTGTACACATTAGAAGGGAAACATGGGCTGATGAATTATTATAGAAAGTTCATACATAACTTGGCATCAACTCTTTAAAAAGGGTCAGCCTAGGAAATAGCTGTGTGGCCAAGCCATTGCTTCCAGTGAACTTAGCACACTATGATACCAAACGAGATCTGGTATTAACATGTGATGCCTCCCCATATGACATCTGGGTAGCAGTAGCTCATAGGTGGCCCAATGGAGCGGGACACCCAATAGTGTATGCATCTAGGACTTCGGCTAATGAAGAGCATAAACATGCCCAGATTGAGAACGAACGTTTGGCGGTCACATTTAGAGTCAGGAAGTTCAGCAATATCTTTACGAACATAAATTTGTAATAATAACAGATCGCAAACTGCTGCTAGGGCTACATAAAGAGTACAAGGCAATCCCATCCATAGCTTCAGGCTACATTCAGCAGTGGGCTCTAATACAAAGTGCGTATAATTACAAGTTGGAACACTGTCAGGGGCCCAAGTAATAAATGTGGGTGCATTGTGCCGCCTCCCACTGGTGGATACACCACTGGTGATACTGCCACTGGAAGATTCCATAATGGTTTTACATTTTCTGGATACACTTCCCTTCACAGCTGACGATATCAGAATTTGGATGCATAAAGATCCAGTCCTGGCAAAAATAAAACAGCTGGTGGTGATGTGAGAAACCAAAAGAACCGTCACAACCAGCACTGAAACCTTTTTTGGACCCAGAGAGACCAGATCACATTAGAGGATGGAATTTTATTATGGGGAGCAAGAGCGATTGTCCTGAGCGAAGGTGGCCACCAGATACTGGCTGAACTCCACCAAGGTCATCCAGGGGTTTCCAAAATGAAGATGTTGGCGAAAAGTTATTTTCTGGGCAGGATTGAATGCAGACATAGCTGCATTGGTGGGACAGGGCCCAGAGTGTCAAGAAGGACAAAAATTACCGACAGCAGTTCTCCCACATTTGTGGGAATGGCCAAGTAAGCCGCAGACTTGGTTACAAGTTGACGATGCAGGTCCTTTCACACGTACAATGCTCTTAGTCATTGTGGACACCCACTCAAAGCAGCTGGACATGCATGTTTAAAGTGATTTGTCCGTGTACAATTGCCCCAGCCACCACCCACCCAACACAACACACACACACACACACACAACCTGAGTCATTCCTATAAAATGCCTGATGGGTGCACAAGTACATTATTTGTCATATTTTCATTCTGTAATAAAATGACAAATTCATCAATGATTCTCTAATGTCTTTTCATGTAGGATTTAGCACAACAATTATAAAGGAGGAGGAAATAAGAGGTTAGGATTTCAAAACAGTTGTGTACAGACTGGTGCCAGGCTGGTGCCCAACTTTTTGAGTGTTATGGGAGAAGCACCCACCCAGGCACTTGGTGAATATTTCACCACTTGTGACTTATGCCTTGTGGATGATGGACAGGCTTTGGGGAGTCAAAAGGTGAGATACTTACCTAGTCTTTGACCTGCTCTTGTAGCCACCGTATTTATCTGGAAGATCCAGTTCAGTTTCTGGTCAATGGTTACTCACTGGATGTTGATAGTGTGGGATCCAGAGATCAGACAAAGACCATCATACTTTAACCAGAAATATGCAAGGAACAGTTCTGTTTCACTGCAATAAGGTGACATCAGAAGCTATTCTTGTGTAACACAACTTACATGAGAAGTGCGACAAAAAGTAAATATCAAGACATTGCGGGTACTCTTTGCAGTCCATAGAGAGGCCTTTGATTCAGTCCAGCCCACAGCCCTAATTGTGCTTTGAATAAACGCATTATTGGGTATACGCATTATTGAATATGGCTCTTTCAAAGACTTTACAAACATGCAAATTGTGTGATGTGTGTACACGGAGCTAAGACGTAGCCACTGACAAGGGAGTCAGCCAAATAATTCAGCTGTCACCACTCCCGTTCATTCCAGGGTTTATACATCCCAGGCAGATTAACACTTACCCACCTACAGCAAACGAGTCAATCCTCAAATAAATAAAACCACTAATCCCATGTTAAGCCTTTTGATTGCTCTGAAATATGTTTTTAAACTCACCCATTGAGTAAGTACACCACCAATTTCACAGAAAAAGGTTTCTTACACCCTCCTATCCTATACTTCACACAACCAGTCAGGATGTATTTTTAATTTGATTTCCATGTTTCATTAAAAACCACAACCTTTGGACTTTGTATCTTAAATATTTCCTTTGCCAATGTAACCAAAGTGAAGTACATGTACCGATGCCAATGGTCACTTCCAGGAACTATTCTAAATATTTAGCTTCAGGGTGGTATTGTTTAGATTGAGAACATATGCCTCTACCATTTTTTTGAAGTTCTACTTCCTTTCTGTACCTTTGCTTTGCATACTTGTCAAGTGTCCATTCATTGTCTTCTAGGTAACCCTTCTGAATTTCTGGGAAATTATAGATGTGATGAAAATCAGGCCTGTGAAAGCTCTGTGTCTCTGTATGATGCTTTATAATTCTGCAAAGGATTTTCCAATGGTGCACATTTGTTTTCTCTTCATTATATCTTCATATAGTCACTTTTTCTAGTAAACTTATCGAATATTCATCATCAAATT